ATCATTAATCTTGGTGCCCCATCTTTGTCCCTGATATTTCAGATGAAGATGACAGCAACAACTGGTGTATGGTCGTTGCTTCTGAAGATTGAAAAGTCACAGCTTCCTTGATTTTTGAACGTCATGCGAATGCTTTCATAAAGGAAAGCAAAACAGCTACTGCTCGCTTAACTGAATGGCCGAAGGCTCTGGAAACCGCCAATGGAATAACCTATTACAGACGCGTTGAAAAACTCTCCTTTAATGAATCCGGTAGCGTCAGATTATTAAACTATCCGTAAATATACTTTTTTGCAGTTTTGTATGATTTTGCTTGGATTCTTCGCAATTCTTTAGTTTGCTACTCCTTGCTCAAACGATGAGGACAAGCACTTAGGTGTTCTTTAAATATTTTTTAAGATATTAGTAAACGTAATTTCGAATGAAGAATTGTCGTTACATTTGCTATGTGGCACGATCAGTAAGGCCAATGAGCAGGCCACTAACCTCGGACTTTAGCATGCCATGTTAATAGTATTAATAATAGTTTTAATATTGAGTCTTCATTGATATCATTACTAGTTTCCTTCGTATGACAAATCTGTATTCCGGGTGGTATACTTTTCGGCAACTAGGCAGCTGAAATAGATTCCGCGCTCAGCCTTTGGGGGATATGTCTGAAACAGTGAATTATGTCATCACATAGCAGCGTCGATCTCTGTATTAATCGATGTAGTGACTTTTTCTTTCTATCGTTCATGAATTGGAGTGGTAATGACTATACGAATATGGACTGTTAATTGCAATTCCTGTGTGAGATTTGTTCGTTTGTTTATGAACTGAGTAGTTTTATGAGTCTGCTTCAAGACAACATTGTGCAGTCAAGATTCCACTGAATTTGCCGCATGGCCAGTGGATCCGCATGGTTTGGGCGTTTATCGTGGCTCCCTGGTTGCAATCAAGGAAATTCGATATGCAAAGAGAACCCGAGAAATTTCGCGAGCCACAAAGATCGAGATGAAAAAGGTTACAAATGAATATCATTTATTCTTATCACCACCATTATAATCTGTGCTTAGATGCGTGGCCTCCATCATGACAATGTCAATCGTTTTCTTGGCATCATTATCCAATCCAATTTCGTTTGTGTTGTTCGCGAGTATTGTGCTAAGGGCAGTTTGTTCGACGTGCTGCTAAATGAAAACGTCCGATTAGACAGCTTGTTCATTGCCTCATTTATTGACGACCTTCTGAAGGTATATTTAGTCATTTTGCATTATAGAAAATATTCTTTGTCAGCAGCGGTGAATGTTGTATTCTGTTGTTGGGGCTGTTTTCATTTCACTGATTATTACTCTGAAAATGTTGTTTTAGCAATCGCGTTGTCATTCATCACTCAAAAAGATTATTTTTAATGGTAGAAATGGAGAAATTATTCTTGATGTTCTAATAGTTTTCCAATTCTACAAGTAAATATTACATTTCATTTCCTGATACCGAATATATTCGACGCCAAATATTTAAGGAAAATAGTTCCTTTAGAAAACCTGAAGCGAATGCACTTCGCGATAATGTCCAGTTAAGATCCTTCTAAATGTTTGCCTACGGATAGTGACAAATTCTGCTGGTGCTCGAACACTACTTTGTTCAGCCCAGTTCAGACATGTGCTAAGTATTAATATGGAAGGTTGATCTCTGTTCAGGAGGTAAACGAAATGGTAAAGGACTTTCGTGCATTCCTCAGACCTTCACAAGTGATTACAATCTCCATTTAACTTATGCTTCAGCTTAACGTATCTGTAAGGAACGCTACAAATTTTTGATAGCAATACGTTACTGTAATAGCAGAAAATGAGGTAATTCACTTCTAATGAACCGAATTTGAATATTCAGTGGCAGATTCTAGCAAAACCATTGAATCATATGATATGGGTGCTTTCATTTTTGTGTGATTCCCCATTTTTATAAACTCGTCGCAGTCGCAGTTTAAGCGTCAAATGCACACACAATTATTATTTAATTTTTACACAATTATTTAAATTTTCGTTCTCATTAACGCCTAAATTCTGTGACCTACCGCTGATCACAACTAACGCGTTTATTTGTTTTCTTGCATTGTTTTTTACGGCATGATTGGGAAAATATTAAACTGATTTAGGGCGTTGTGTACTTGCATGACTCTGAATTACGAGTCCATGGAAACCTGAAATCAACGAACTGTTGCATTACAAGTCGCTGGTCCTTGCAGGTATCTGATTTTGGTCTCAGCGAACTGCGGGAAGGTCAAGTGTTCGGCGGCTCAAACGAAGGAAAATATTTCGGTAAAATTATCTTCCATATTTCGACCTTATATCCAGTTTAGTTTAAAGGCATGTTGTGGACGGCACCTGAGCATCTCCTGGAAAATCCGGAACAGCCCGTGAGAGGAAGTCAAAAAGGAGACGTTTACTCCTTTGCTATCATCCTGCACGAGATCTTTAGCCGCAACGGCCCATTCGGCATCTACTATGATGACTCTTCTGATCCTGAAGGCACATCGATTAATACTGTCGTAAGCTTTGATTTATCTACTCCTTGTTTAGAGATAGTAAACTCGGTAATGAACAGCAATGGATATTGCAGACCAAGTCTTCACAATGTCGTAGCCGACAAGTACATACTGGACTGTATGGTTAGCTGTTGGGATGAACGGCCAGAAACGCGACCAGACTTCCACCAGATTCGCACTCGTTTGAAGCCACTTTTTAAAGGCATCCTGTACGTTTCGTCTGTTAAGCTTTTTTAGTTTATCACTGTGTAATGCCAGTCGCGTGCGTTTATAGGCCGTTGTTTACGTTGAATTATGAAACGTTTATCGTGAATGACAAGAATAGACTCAGTTTTTTAATTTCTACTGGCTTTGCTGTAGGAAGGAACAGAACTTTACATGCTTGTATCTGAATCGAAAGGTTCATGACCTATTGAATGGATTTTTTTAAATAAAATTTCTGTTATTAAGTTTAGTTTTTACCCCAGCATTAGGATATTATATGTTTTCAATTTTGTGTTCATTGTCATTTCTCTGCTACTTGTTCTTGCGTAGATAATCAATGCACCCATAGAAAAGCAAGACCGTAAATATATTTACAGCTAAATAGACTGTTTAGGTTTTATAGCATAGCTATGCTAGTATCTTAAGATCATATTTAACTGATTATATCAATTGCTAACCACATATCGAATTCATATCATTTTAAAAATACAAAACGTTTTAGGAAAAGAAATATAATGGATCATATGATGGCTATGATGGAGAAGTACCAAACGCATTTAGAGGAACTAGTTGAAGAGAGAACTGAAGAACTGAAAGAAGAAAAGAAACGTACAGAGATACTTCTTCATCGCATGCTTCCGAAGTATGTTCCCGCAACTTAATTATAGTTATAATTCTTTGATTTTAATCTATTGATGAAATTAATGCAATGAGCATTTAATATAATTTTGTTAGCTTACTGGAGAAGTTTGTCTCTAATTATTCGATCGTTATATTTTCTTCTTCTTCACCTTCCATAACCGCTTCTCCTTTCGGATCACGTAGACAGGAGCGTCATACTTTCGCAACCCGTGTGAAAACCATCGCAGCTCTGACATCTCTGTCTGAAGAGGCAGCAGCTATGTACCAAGGCTCTCATGAATTTGTACATTCCGGACATCATCTCAAGAAGCGTAAGGCCAGCGACTCATCTCAGAACGTATATTTAAGCCGTTTACAACCGGGATCGAAGTCATGGTCTACCATTCGTGACCGTAAGCATGGGAATGAAGATCGACTTGGTCTTTAGACTCATGTCTGCAATAGTCATGGTGGCTTGGGCTAATTAACGCAGAACACCACATGCTACACCAATCCGTCGGTCGACTTCTTCCTCAAGTATTTCATCACTAGTAAACCCTGAGATTCTTGTGCTTTTTCACCTACTCCACTGCGTCTCCGTTTATCTGAAGGGAGCAGCGGGCGGGAGAACGAGAAAGCACTAGGCTTTACGTACAAGATACGTTCACGCGAATGCCGGCCTCCTCACGCTGGGCTTCAAACCTTTCTATGGAGCATTGTAGGTCAGTTTCAGAAGCTGCCAATGAAACAAGGTTCTCTGCTAACAGAAACCTTCTTGTCTCAACATCTCCTCCACCGATACACTCATCGCGTTTTGCTGCTGACTATTCTATTCATGTCTAACACAAACAGGAGAGGGGATGGGACGCAGCCTTGGCGGTGACGAGTGCCAAAGCTGAAAGATTTCGACTTAGCGCCATTTACTTTGACGTAGCACCTGCTAGCAGCATATAGTGATTGGTTTGGCCCGTAACAGCTGACCATTCATCCTATGTGTTCACAGGCATGCTCATAGATTCCTGCGCGGGATCCGGTCTTGGGCTTTATCTACGTCCGCAAAGCACATTTTACCGTTTTCTGCACAATTGTGCGGAAG